TGTGCCAACCTTCGAATGTCTTTCGTTGAAGATGCAGAAGAAAAGAGTCAGCATGGTCCCGACATTGAGGTACTGACATACGAGCTCGTACACCCGCACGAACGCGATCGCGTTAGGATGGAGCTGTGAAGGCGTCAGGCGCAGCCAGTCGAACACTTCTCTTTGGAAATCACTAAAGGGAAGACACGAGCCCGCTTCTCGGAAAGTGGATTCATACATGGGAAACCTCATCCATTTGAAAGAAAAGCATATCTGATGGTGTTCCCGAGGAACTTAGTCCTTACACCCACATCCTAGCTATCCGGTGCTACATATCAGAGCCGACCGACCAAAAGAATAAAGACACGCTTCACAAAAAGACCTCTAGCATACCTACTCTGCAATGCCTCCTAGAGCATCATAAAACAGCAGAAGGGTGAGAAATATTATCATAATAACAATGCATATAATTATATATCTTAGCATAAAAATACACATATTCTACATTCTCACCACAATTCATCACAACTCACTCATATACATCACAATGTATATATATATAACCAAGCATATTCATCATGCATACTTTCACAATTCTTATCATTCCACATAAACATACACATTTATGTTTATTCACCAATGTACAATTATAAAGATGATAAATGCAAATCATAGAGACCGACTCACGACTCTATGCAAATGCAATACGGTACCGACTCAATCATCTCAAGTTCACTCAGGAACTTATTAGAACCATCGCTCGTTACCAATGTAACTCCCCGTCGGGCCTACGATGTTCACCCATTGCTCACACCTCACATAGGCACACAATGTTTGTGGATTGCTCACACCTCACATAGGCACACAATGCTTGTGGATTGCTCACACCTCACATAGGCACACAATCTGATTGCTCACACCTCACATAGGTATACAATCTTTTGTAATCATCGCTCATACCTCACATAGGCACACGACGTTACAACGGATTCTCATTAGAATCACACAACACAAGAATGTACATCATTATGCTTCACATACAAAATGACTCAAGACACTCTTGAAATGCATACATATTTACAATATATTCATGCATTCATCTCATTCTATCACATACAATCTATATACATTCACAATATATTCCACAATCTAGGATTCACGCCATACGGCTACCCACAATATATCATATAACTGCACACAAGCTACACGTTTCGGAAGAAGGTTGATCAACATCCGAGTCGAAGAATCGATATTGGATGGGAATCCACCTTCTTTTTGGAAAATCTTGTTAAGAGATGAAGAATAATGAGAAAGTGGGTTTCTAGGTCACAAATATCACTTTTCAGCAAAAACAAAAGAAAGCAGACGAAGAAGATATTTATTTAGTTTTTACAAAAAGTAGCCCATGCTACTTATAGAAAAAGTGTTGTGCTGACATGCTCGTTAGGCGAGCAGAATGGTTCGCCTAGCGAGCCCTTCGTTGCTTCACTCGCTCCAGCGAGTTTTGGTCTTTTTGATTCTGTCCAAGTCTGGGAGTGTTCGCTGGCAGCTCGCTGTGTGCTCGCCTAGCGAACACTTCGCTACCTCACTCGCCAGTGATTCGCCTAGCTTCCACTCAAAACTCAAACCCTCAATTATCCAAAAATGTCAAAAGTTACGAAATCACCTGAATTCAATCAAACAAGTTTCAATAGTCACAACCTAATATTCCTCGACTAAACTACGCAATTTATTTCGAATTCTAACCGTGAAAACATCGGTTTCTATCGATTTTACCAATTCGACCTAAAATGAAAATATGTGGAAAAACAACCAAAACAATTCAAACAAAACCATACATAATCATACAAAATGATAAGATAACAATATTTCACACCCTTATCTGATCAAATCGATTCCTAGAAGTGTTCTTGATGATTTTCCAAACTTTCTCTCTTTTCTTCTTTCTTTCTCTTCTCTTTCTTCCTTTTTTCTCTTTTCTCTCCTCTTTCTCTTTTATATCTTTCTATTCTATTTCTTTTCTATTACTTTTTCTCACAAAATATCTAATAATTCATTTTCTCACAAAATATCTAACTTAACATTAATTAAGAAATATCTAAAATACCCTCCAACCTAATTTTCCCAAAAACTCTGATAAAATAACACAATATGCAAACATAACATATTAACACACCAATTGCACAAATAAAATAATAATCACCAAAATAAAATAAAAGACTCAACAAAAATGGGAAATCAGAATCGGGGTGTTACAATACTCCTCCATGGTATTTTGATATATGTTTGAAATGTATGGATGACAATTTAGTCCATCCTCTATGGATACCTACCAAATTACCCTTGAGGGTAAGGTAAAAACCCACAAAAATGGGTACGGACACGGACTTTGATAATTATCCACTTAAATAAGTAGTGATGGATGCTGGGATGGACACCTTAGAGCACCTCCAATGGTGCAACCCATTTTTGGGTTCTTTGTGGGACCCACTCTTTTAAAGCAACTCATTCAATTTTCACTCCAATGGTGCAACTTTAAAGAACCCATATTAGGTCCCACCACTTTATTTAAAATATATTATTTATATTAAATTTATTTTATTTAAAATTATAATTTAAATATTTAAATTTTAATTAATATAAATACAAATTAAACATAAAATTAAAATTAAACATAAAATTGAAAATAATAATTAAAATTAAATTTAAATACATGTCACATAATTAAAAACAATAAAAATAAATAACATCACATAATTAAAAACAATAAAAATAAATAACATCACATAAACAAATGTAATTTGAAATAAAAAGATGAAAATTTGGCCTAAACAAATGTAATTTGAAATAAAAAGATGAAAATTTGAAATAAAATGATAATGAGAAGAAATTGTTGGAAAAAAATTAAATATTTATGAATAAAATGATGAAATTGTGAGAGAGAAATTTGAAATTAAAGAGCAAATAAAAAGGAGAGAAAATAGGAATAAAAAGGAGAGAAAATAGGAATGATATAAATTTTTTCCAACAAACCTATATTTATAATAAATAAAAAAGTTAAAAAAATAAAATAAAGCTAAATGATTATTTTAATAATAAACCAAATGAAGAACCGTTGCTTATGTTTGTAACGTTCTACAGCTGGAATAACATTTTGTTGACATTTTTAATGTCAAGCTGGCAAACCAATTTGAAAAACCACCGTTAGAGTTGGTCTTAGTATCCACCTCGCCCCATACTTGCACAATATATATCTATATATTTTAATTTAGATTATCATATAAAAATAAATGCTTATAAATTTTTTTAAAAACATCAATTTTGAACTACTACATATGTAATATAAGTGATCATTATTTGATAATTCAACAATAATTTTTTTAAAAAACTTTTTAATGTTTTTAAAAACTTAAAATATTATGATATTTTATACTTGAAATATTTATTTTTATTAACAATGCGGGTAACAGGTACGAGTACAAACACTTATATACCCGTAGGATACGGGGACGAGTGTCAATGTTGATACTCAAGCGGATATGAGTTCGAGTACGAAGATTTTTTCCAACTGCAGACATGGAGACGGGTACTATAGTACCCTATCCAAACCCTTCTCATTACCATCCCTATTAAAATGTATGATAGTTTAGATATTACTCATTCGGTCCTAAATTATAAGTCACTTTGTCAAAAAAAATTGTCCTAAAATATAAGTCACTTTGTCAAAAAAATTTGTCCCAAATTATAAGTCACCTTACATTTCCAATGCAATATTAATGATATTTTTCCAATATACTCTCAAATATTTATTACTATCTATGTTCCAAATTATAAGTCACTCTCCAAAAAAAATATTTATCCCAAATTATAAGTCACTTTAGAATCACAATATAATATTAATGACTTTTTTCTTAATATACCCTTTATTATTTATTTCTCTTTCTTCTTTTTATTCATTTAGTCCATTTTTTAATATAATGAATGAATGACAGTTTTATAAAATCATACATCATTTTAATTTTCTATAAAGTAATAATTGTATTTCTTAAACAGTGTAAAATGCTCAAAACATCTTATAATTTGAGACGAATAAAATATTATTTATTCTTTTTTTTAATGTAATTATAAAGGATATTACTGTAAATTTATATATAATTTATCTTTTATATAAAATAATAATTAAATTTCTTAATTCATGAAATGTCAAAAATATTATATAATTTAGAATAGAGGTAATAATGTTTAAAAATGTGATATATATATATATATATATATATATATATATATATATATATATATATATATATATATATATATATATATATATATATATATATATATATATATATATATATATATATATATATATATATATATATATATATATATATATATATATATATATATATATATATATATATATATATATATATATATATATATATGTGTGTAAAAAATTATAATCCATCATCTAAAAAACTCCTCTTATCATTAATATAAAAAATAATATTTTATAAAAAATCAATGAATTTGGAATACATATAGTCTAAATAAATTAATTTTTCAATTAATCTAAAAAATTTCATATTAAGAATTTATATTAAAAAAATTAAATATGGTAAGTTTCAAGTGTTCGAGGAATTTTGATTTTATATTAAAAGTTAAATATGGTAATTGTTATTCGAAAACGGAAAGGAGAGTAACAATGAGATGAGATCACGAAATAAGTAAGCAAAAAAAGTGTCTAGATTCATTGAATTCAAACCGTCTCAATCAAATCGTCTCCACTATATATCAAACACACAAACTCTTCTTTTTCTGTGCTACCTACGTTTGTGTCTTTCTATCTAAGATCACTGTCATCAACAACACAACACAAAACTTTTCCTTTTTTCTTAAAAATATTCCATTATTTTTTGTGAATGACCCTTTTGTCCTCATTCACCCACTAGCAAAATCACCTTTTTAGTTTTATAAACCAAAACATTTCCCAATTCCAAAACCACCAAACACCGTTTTCCATGGCTTCCATGGCTACCCTTTTCTCCAAAACCTCTTTCCCTTCTCACTCTTTAACCAATTCCTTCGACACCCATTTCGCTCCTTCCACCAGAATTAATTTAGCTGTCAAAAACAAGCCGAAAACCAATCGGAAACTCCGTGTTTCTAATGGGTTAATTGAACCGGACGGTGGAAAGTTGGTGGAGCTTGTGGTGGAGGGTGGGAAGAGGGATTTGAAAAAGGGTGAAGCTTTATCGCTTCCAAGGGTGAAGCTTTCGAGGATTGATGTTGAATGGGTACATGTTTTGAGTGAAGGATGGGCCACACCGTTGGGTGGGTTCATGAGAGAAAGAGAGTTCCTCCAAACGCTTCATTTCAATTCACTTAGACTTGAGGATGGGTCTGTGGTGAATATGTCTGTTCCGATTGTTTTGGCTATTGATGATGCGCAGAAACATCGGATCGGTGATTCTAAAAAAGTTGCTCTTTTTGATTCAAAGGGTAACCCTATTGCTATTCTGAATGAGTAAGTTTTCCCTTTTCTTCTTCTCTTGTTCATCTTGAGTTTAGTTAGGCTTAGTTGTTTGTTATGATTAAAGTTTCCATTTTTAATTTTTTAGGAGAGTTATGCAGGTTTAATTGGCTTCTTCAGCCATCTATAGATAGAGTTTAATTGGTCAATTATGGATAGCTGTTTATTTGTGTGTGTGATGAATTTGTATATTACTAACAAATGGGGAGGGTTTGGAGGTCATCATTCACTTTTCAAATTATTACCGTTGTCGACGTCTCAGGTCGGAGTTGTGTGCATAGGATAGATGCAAAGATTGGGATTGGATATTCTGAGAATTAGGTCATTTTCAGGACATGTTGTGTCCTTGTTTAATTTCTTTTTATATGTGTTGAAATGTTATGGTTGGTTGCATAGTCAACAAGTCATATAATGCCGTAATGATTTTGAGATGGGTTTCCTCTATTGTCAAACAGTGCTTCATGATAAGGTCTTTGACTCTTACAAAAAAAAACTTCTTGATAGGAGTAGTACATTAGGATTTTGACTTGACTAAATAAATACAAATAAAAACTATATTTTGTTTTCAACTTCTTTATATGCATAGTGATATGATATATTTGTATGTGTGACTTTCATTCTGTTTTTAGTTGTACTTGTTCCATTTGTTTTCTATGGCTTATATTTTTCATCTGGTTATTTCAGTATCGAAATTTACAAGCATCCTAAAGAAGAAAGGATAGCCCGAACATGGGGGACAACTGCCCCTGGACTACCTTATGTTGAAGAAACTATAACTAATGCTGGAGATTGGCTGATTGGTGGTGACCTAGAGGTTATTGAACCTATTAAGTATCATGATGGACTTGATCATTTTCGGCTGTCACCTTCAGAGCTCCGTGATGAGTTCACAAGGCGTAATGCGGATGCTGTGTTTGCCTTCCAGCTCCGGAATCCTGTTCACAATGGCCATGCTTTGCTAATGACTGATACGCGCAAGCGGCTTCTTGATATGGGTTACAAGAATCCTGTCCTCTTGCTTCATCCACTTGGAGGCTATACCAAAGCTGATGATGTTCCACTTGATTGGCGAATGAAACAACATGAGAAGGTATGTCCCGCTTTTCTGTGGCACTATATGCTATTTTATGGTTCAAATTGATTTTTTCATAGAAAGTTTCACTTATATATTATGAACTTTCTTTAGGTACTTGAGGATGGTGTTCTTGATCCAGAGACAACAGTGGTATCCATATTCCCATCTCCCATGCACTATGCTGGACCAACTGAGGTGCAGTGGCATGCAAAGGCTAGAATCAATGCAGGGGCAAACTTCTACATTGTTGGCCGAGACCCCGCAGGCATGGGCCATCCCGTTGAAAAAAGAGATCTATATGATGCTGACCATGGAAAGAAAGTATTGAGCATGGCACCTGGACTCGAGCGCCTAAACATTCTTCCTTTTAGGGTAAATACATGACGAAATTATTTTTTCTCTTTAATATGTTGAGTTTCACTTCGCTGGCCTTTTTGTTGATTATCTCGATTCATTTGCAGGTTGCTGCGTATGACAAGACTCAAGGTAAAATGGCGTTCTTTGATCCATCAAGGCCTCAGGATTTCATCTTCATATCAGGCACAAAGGTATGTATTTTTTTCTGTGATTATGTAATGTAACCTAAGGTTTTGTTCTAATAGACTACGAAAACACTGACATAGACATCAAACACGAAAACACTGACATAGACATCAAACACGACACTTGACACTCTGGTTGCATATAAGTAGTGCTTTAACAAATGTTACTTTCGTTTTGCAGATGCGCACACTTGCTAGGAACAAAGAAAGTCCTCCAGATGGATTTATGTGCCCTGGTGGCTGGAAAGTGCTAGTCGATTATTATGATAGTTTAGTACTTTCAAGCAACGGAAAAGTTCCGGAAGCTGTTCCGGTCTAGTGTTGTACTTTAATGTATACCCGATTGGGAGAAACCTTTAAAGTTATGTATTCTCCTGTTAAGACCACTGATTTCACAAAGATCTTTGTTGCCTAATCCCTAATAAAATGAAAAGTTTGGGATGGCATTTGCATAGAGACACATTGCCTCTCTGTAAGTATGGCTTTGTAGTGTTGCCTCTTGCAGTTATAGTGCCACTTCTCTGTAATATATTATTGTGATTGTGCAAAGGATTTGGTTTGGTTTGAGTGTTTAAATTCACTGTGCTTTGTACTATTATCGTCAAGTTTGTACGTGTTACGTTCCACATTGACCATCATCCAACACATGTTTGGACCAACATTATCAAGTTGAGCATCATCAAACACATCTTTCGACCAGCATTATCAAGTTTGTACCTGAATCTAAAGCAACATCAATTGGTGGTAATGTCTAAAATGTCTTCTGCATTTTTTGATGCATATATTTTTTTACATAATTGAGGCGAAATGGTGAGAAATTCTTATCATGTTAAAATTTAATTCGAAGATGCATCTTCATATGTATAAAAGGTTGATTCGGAGATGCATCTTTGTATCCCCTTTAATTCATTTGTCTGTGAGCATTCCGGATATGCATTTTCAAATTTTACTATATTACTTAAAAAAGAAACAAGCATAAACAATGAGAGAATGAAAAACATAAATTAACTCCAAAATAAATATTACATAAACTCAACATTATATGTTATTAAAAACAAGTTGTTCGGGACGTTGTAACATTCTTATAATATTTTTAACTGATCTTTGGATCGTCGCATTCATTTTAATCAGATCATTTGATGAGTAACGGTAAAAGATACTCAACTGTCTTCAATGTAAGCGGAGTGAACTGCATCTTCCCTTCATTGTCCATCGAAGGTGAATGATACTCGAACTTGACAACTCTCTGATTCTATAGATAGCGCAAGAGAGTATTCAATTTAATTTTCAAATCGACGAGAAGTATTTCTCGCATATCCCAATTTGAAGTGAGATATTTGGTGACACTGAAATACACAAATGTAAGACGGGGATATGTAGTCATTCTAAGTTTTATAAAGAAAAATGGATTGAGAGGCCCTAATTATAGAAGTTGAATAACAATAGGGACCTTACATATTTGATCATGTATGTAGTGGGGTACTTCGGAGATACATCTCCAGATCCGCCTTTTTTTTTTATATAAAAATAAAGGTCTCTCCAGAGAAGCAGTTCCGGATGCTCCCCCGATTGTTTTTTAAAATTAATAAAAATGATGTGTTCAGTGATGCATCTCCGAATCTACCAAAAAATTATGCAGAACAGAACCATGCTAATTATGCAGAGCATAATTTGAAAAGAAAAAATGTCCAAAAAATGTAACTCAATTTTATAACATTATGCAGTGCGTTATTTTAAAAAAAAAAGTGTTACATTGTTATATTATAACTAAAACACATCAAAAGTTGTGTCACCACCTAATTCTATTGGTGACTCAATCTTTGACATTTCCTTATTTGCTTCTCATTCAATGTGCTCAATTTAGTGAACTCTTCCATCCTTTCAAGAAAGTGTTCCGATCATGTTTCAGCATCTTGTGTGCAATGTGTCGTCCACTCCGGTGATGTCTTTGGTATAGGGCATCCCTATTTCAAATAAACCTTAACAAATTGTTGTTTTTTTTATAGCCAACCAATACACATGATACATTCGGATGGATTATGAGGTCGCTTATTTCAAAGTGGAATTAATGTTTCCGAGAAACCATATTGTGTTAAATTAATGCACACACTATTATAAGCATTTGCTATAAGATGTACCATTTCCGGAAAGTCAATCCATTTGTCAAACAGAGCTGAACCACTAAGACAAGAAACAAGAGCAACGAAAATTGTATCATAATTTACTCTTTCCCATATAGCTTTGTGTATGATTTCATGTGTCCCCATCTCTTGTATAAGATGACGACAAACAAATTGGTAGTCCTTCTCTCCTTTATCGAGTAAATCCAAAACATCTCAAAAATCATAGTTGTCGTCACCTTCAATATATACAATTCATTCTATGTATTTGTGAATGAAGGATGTTGTCTTTGAATATGTGTTATATGAAGAAAATAGAGCTTAGGTTTTCACGTGACAAAATATGTTCAAAGATGAATAGTGACCTATCAGTGTCACCTTGGTCATTGAGCTTTGACTGACTCAGGTTCTGATCATCAAAGGCAGACTTATTCAAAGTCTGATCATTGACTCCTTCAGACTCTAATCATTGGACATTGACCTCTTCTAAAGTTGACTTCTTTAGAGTTTGATCTTTAGCTTCTGATCCATCAGATTTTGATCTTCACGTTTCTCATTTAATATTCATAGTCATAACCAATACTTGGATTTTGTAGGAAGTTTAAGTCTATGGTTATGCACACTTGAACAAACATTAATACACTCAATTGTTCTTTAAATACTTTGTTATCATCAAAACCTAAGGGATATGTGACAAACCAATTTTATTCCAACAGATGCAATAACTATAAACCCATAATTTCCTTTTACTTCAACATTAACTATGTCATCAATATATGACTTAATATGTTCAGAAAATTCAAGCATAAATTGATTTTGAGATAGTTATTTCTTGGATAATTGCTTCTTTGATGACTACTTTTGATATGATTGATTTTGAGAAGATTGAGATAGTTGTTTACGTGGCCTCTTTGATGACCCTTGAGAATCATAGTATGCTCGACCAACATGCTCATGATATGAAGGGTCTCGATATACATCATATCCCATATATTTCTTCCCTTTCTTCTTTGCTATTCCTTTGGTTTTTATTATTTGACGTGGTAGGCACATTGAACTCATAATGAGGTAAGAAATTTCGCACACCCTAGTTTTTAATTCTCTTTTCTCTACAACATCCAATGACCTAAACCTTCTCCACAATGTTTCAATTGTATTACTCATGTATAACTTTGACCCATCATCTACATCTACCTTTTTGTTGGCTGTCCATGCTTAATTTCCTCTATGAATATGAACAACATCTATTGATATTGGCTCACCACCCAATGTATATGTTCCTAACTCACAAATATAAGACAACCCATATGACGTTCTAAGAGTACACTAACAAATGTGGGTGTCAATTCCCACATACTCAATCCTATGAAACTCTTTAGTAATGCGTCTCAAAGTAGCTTTTGATACTGATCCACACAGTTTCTCATTAAATGAAATGGTGTGTTCGTACTTAAATTCATAAAAAATCTTATTGAAATAAGCTCTAATATTAGCCAATTGTAACTTCATGTTGTTATTCATACTCTCAAAACATTTGCACAAGTTACCTATATTGTTCTTCAACATCTGTTTAATTCGCAATGACCACACTCAATCTTATAATGAAATAGTATCACATAAACATAAATTCAAAGCAATGGAAACTTTAAATAGTGATAGTCATATATATTAGTTGTGGTGTTTTCCAAATGCATCACTCGATTGATCCATACTTCAAGAAATATATGCATATGAGGAGTCAACCATGTGTCTTTCACATAATAAATAAATTGACTACAACCAACACATGCTTGCTTAAGTTGATGCAAACGTTGATGGTACTCCACCTCATCACCGATCCATACAAGATCAATCCATAATGTGTTTCTTACCTCTTGCATATCATTCACAACATATTACTTGCATTTCGAACAAACAATTTTGTTCATGTGAAACTAACAAATCAAATTGATTGTTCTTGAAAACATAACTTCAATTGATTTCATCAAAGCAATATCTCTATCACTCAAAATCACTTGTGGACTTTTTTTCATTAGCTAAATATATTAAAACTGTCAAGGGATGCACAATGCAACAAAACCGATACAACGAAAAAAACACCGACACAACTATGAGCGAAACGAACTAAACCAAAACAGAGGTCGAAGTGACACACCACTTGGACCAAGAAAACAAACTATCCAAATTTTTCCCAACCATAACCCATTCCCACGGCAACTACTTAATCAGCCCCAACCCATCGAACTTATCAAATAACCACCATCAAAGAGAATAGAATTCCAACAAGACCAAATGGTCCAACAAATAGATAAACCAAAATTCCAACCAAAATCCATCTTAAATAAAGAATCTATTTCCTCCTCTAACGCAAGCAAACAATCAATATGATTCATCGAAAGAAGAGGTAAAGAAATGTGGATCCAATCGATAGTTTGTGACCATCATCCAACCGTAAACGGGCAACCTCCAAAAAGGTAACTTGAATCCTCCCTCTCCCCATCACAAAGAGGACATATCAAATTGAGAGAACCGCTCAAAATACCTCTACACTCTAAATTTGATCTAGTTGGGAGACGATTCAACACCAATCTCCACCCATAATCAACACAATAGGAAAAAATATTCAACAACTTGACTGAATCCTTGCAGGCCCAAAAAACATCTCTCATAACATCTGAGTCATCTCTTCTTCTACTCCAATAAACATAATTTGTATCATTTATCAGTTTAAACAAATGTTATATCTTAGTTCTAAAACTCTTGTTCTTATTTTGTGGCATACTTTTATGTTTATATATTTGAGTCAATTGAGTGACATTCTTAGGATCTCACTCTTGCAACGACAAGAGTACATGTTTCGGTGAAACATGACCCTTTATCAAACCAACATGTTTTCGTTCAGCTGCACTTAGACGCCTAAGAAATGTATGACCTTCAAATCTATCAAGTAAATTGTGGTTGTGAATTCCATATTTTACATTAATCTTCCATCTTGAACTATCTTTAGACGGTGTTCACCTGGTTTTAAATGGGCAACTACATTTTTTAGTAGCACTTTGTATTGCACTATTTAAGTCCTTGTACTTGCCATCTCTCTTATAATTAAATATTAATATGTTGTTTCTCCCTCTTTGTAATGTTTCAGTATCTGATTGTGTAATGACGACAATCACTTAGCTCACCTTATTACTCTTTTTTC